ATTAACAAACAATTAAATAAGACTATAAGCTCAAACTATTAGTTAGCTGATTATTAACAGTTTATTTAGTTAATGGTTGAGATGGATCTTCCACATATTGATTTATGTGTGGTTCATGTTTAATTTAAAGTCTAATATAGGAGGAAAACACCTGAACTGCTCTCACAAATCCACCCAAATTATAAGTGGATAATTATTTATATGTTTAAAAGCCATATCAGCAGCATTGGCTATGTTCGTGGCAACACTTGTACTAAGTAATCAATGTATAATTTGCAATCATAACTGTTTCTTGAAGTCTGCTTGAACTGGAAGTTGCTGAGACTTATTTCAGTATGTTGAGGCACTTCCAAATAAGACTGAATATGGCATTGGGGGTGGGGCTTTTTTTTCATTCACATTCATCATTCGCTCATAGCGAACTAATGGTAAAGGTTTTTTTTTTTTGTATTAATATGCAGTTGCTATGGAAATGCAGGTTAAAGTCAACAGAAGAACTCTCACTCCAATCACGGAAGCGAATGAGCAGAATTTCATTGAAGATTAACACAGCAACTACATTTTTATTTCAATAGATTAACTAGCAAGGATTAATTATTCACTTTAAGAATAACAAAGTTAGCTAACAAATTAATTTCAAGTGGATTTTAATAATCATGCAATGTACAAAAAACATACAAACAACTAGTGGTGGAATGGATCACAAATCTCACGGTTCGAATCACACTACGGTTTTTGAGTCACGGAACGGACAATTTTTCGGATCAGAAAAAACGGAAGAAGACATGTCATTTGCTTTTCATTTATACAATAAAATACTGCAAAAACCATTGATTTTAACAACCAGAACCTATAACCTGTAATTTTAATAAAAATAAAAATCAAGAAAGAACCAGCTGAAAAAGAAAATATTCAAAACAGAAAATGATCTGTTGCTGATAATGCTATATATATATATATATATATATATAATCTAACATCTTGTTCAACATTTCACATATTTTCAATTAATGATTCAGCAATTCTCATATAAAAGCTCATGTTTAATTATAGGTGGATCATTTTTGAAAACCTATTCAGTGATATAAGTTTGGTTGTTTGTCGCCACCTATTGGTTACACAATGTAAGTGCTTTCACCAGCGTCAAGTCCATTAAATGGGGATTAAAACTTTTCCCATAAACATGTCTTTATATCTAAACTATAAACTGTTTTCACAGTTTTCTGTATTATTTAATTGTTTACAACTAACTAAAAAAAAGTGTAAAAACTGAATCTCGATCAAACGCAGATTTAACTGCAACGCTTATTAGAAGGATTAATAAACATATGCAGATCATTATCACTTATTGTTCATATTACGTGGGTTTGAATTGAGATCCTACTCTTTTAATGTTTAATTGTGCAGCTTTACACTGAATTTGTTAATACACCAATACAGTGACAGAAAACGCCTTTAATTAATAGCCTAAGAAAGCATTGAGGTCCCACCACAACTTTTTTTTGTCATTGTTATATTTTACGGGCAAGTCAAAATGCTTTCATACGCTTGATTTGAATGATGCGGGAGGTGATTTCTCTGCAACTGTTTAAACGTTGGATTAACCTTTAAGGTAAAGTTATTAATCTGTGGGTCACGTGCGTTCCGAACTGTGGGGTCATCCGTTACACCCCTACAAACAACACTGATAAAGAAATCATCTGACATCCTTCAATTTGATCAATGGTAAATATTCTAAGATTCCCTGTAAGTAGATACTTGTTGCTAATTGTTTCTGTTTTTTTTTTTTTTGTCTATCAGCTGTGTATTTTGAAAAGGGAGATTTCGATAAGTGCAGAGAGCTTTGTGAGAAGGCCATTGATGTGGGCAGAGAGAACCGAGAAGATTACAGACAGATTGCCAAGTAAGTTTGTTTTCTGTACTAGATGGTTATGGTCTATTGGCAAAGTTTTTTTTCTATTTTAAAATGTTAACTTGTTGTTGTTGTTATTATTTCGGACTCTTGGGTCCATATCCAAAAACATAACTACATACAATCATAAATAATACATATTACAACACCATTTAAAAAAAAACATACAAACATTTATTACAGTGCTTCCATTACTAGGAGCGGTACTTGGCATCACTTAAAACGGTTATAAATAAATAAATAAATAAATAAATAAATATATATATATATATAAATATATAAATATATATATATATATATATATATATATATATATATATATATTTATATATATATATATATATTTATATATATATATTTATATATATATATATATCTCTATTTTTTTTTTTTTTTTTTTTTTTTTTAGATAATCAGCAGACACGTACAACAACATAATGAGTCAAATGCTATTATGTAAAATAATCTGACCACCTTGGAAACCTAAGCAAAATTCACTGCGCATCATTGAATGCCACCTGGAGCTGCCCCCAGAGTATTTACACCACAAATGTGCAGTATATAATCAACTACAATGAGCTGTAAAAAGAGCTAGTTTAATATCATCTGTGTATACATTTACAAGCAAAAATATTTGTGTGACCATACAATTTTCAACACTAGCGCTGCACATTTGACTCTAACTGCATTTGGTTTTGCTCTACAGCATCTTTATTCTTATGTCTCTCTCTGTCTTTCTGCAGGGCATATGCCAGGATCGGCAACTCATACTTTAAGCAGGAGAAATACAAAGAGGCCGTCCAGTTCTTTAATAAGAGTCTGACAGAGCATCGCACACCTGATGTCCTCAAGAAGTGCCAAGAGGTCATTCTCATTTTTGCAAAAACACCACTTATTTGTTTTCCTTTTGGATCAGTCTTATCTTACTTTAACATGGCAACGATTAAACAAGAGATTTGATTTTGTTTAAATGATTATTAGCATTGTATTACTTTGAGTTGGGGTAATACTGTAGCAATACAGCAAACATGTACTCATTTACAAGGGTGTCACTTTTTTTTAAAAAGTTGGGAAACACAAAATTAGGGGAAATCTTTCAGTTTCAATTTTATTTTCTGCAGTTCTATATATTTTAGGGTCTGCGGTGATACAAAATGCAGGGCAAAATTTGCTGATCAAACAAATTTAATTTCAAACTAACCTAAAGATGTCAATAGCTATTATTAACGGTGTGATGAATCACTATTTTGGAATATCAATTGCAGATGAAAATCATCTAAATTAATATGTAGGAATATATTCTGAAAATGTTGATCATTATTTTATTAATTGTAACAAAACAAAAAAACATGTTGTAGTTCCTGATGCTAATTTTCTGTGCAGAGCAAATTCCTAAACATTAGACTAACAAAAAAGGATTTTGTTAGTGCCCTCCTTCAGTTGAAGTTACACCCCTTCTTATTTATAGTAGTACTGAGAGCAAAAGAAGAGTCCAAGGAAGAGACTTAAACTCAAAATTAATATATCTCTATGTTCTCAAACTCTTATTAATGGGTACGAGATTAACTTTTGTTTTAGTATGTATGTGTGAACTGAATGTATGTGTGAAAAACAGTATACATTTACATTTTGTTTTCCTTTTTTCCCCTAAGCTCTGTTCACTCTTGAAGTTGTATCTTGGGTTTTTATCATAACTTATTTTTTACTTTCAGGCGGAAAAGATTTTGAAGGAACAAGAGAAGGTGGCCTATATCAATCCAGATCTGGCTCTGGAAGAAAAAAACAAGGGCAACGACGCCTTCCAGAAGGGTGTGTATATCAATCAAATCAAACCTACTCATGAATATTATCTCCCACAGGATGTTCCAGTTTAATATGATTTTATTTGAAATGGCTACATTGTGACAAACCTGTCGTGTTGGTGTCTCTTGTATAGGTGATTATCCCTTGGCCATGAAACATTACTCAGAGGCCATCAAGAGAAATCCATACGATGCAAAACTCTTCAGCAACAGAGCCGCCTGCTACACCAAACTGCTGGAGTTCCAGCTGGCCCTCAAGGTACAATCACACACATACAGTTGAAGTCAGAATCATTAGCCCTCCTGTGAAATGTTAATTCTTTTAAAAATATATCCTAAATGCTGTTTAATGTTGAGATGTTTTTTTTAATATATAATTTTTAAACCTAATAGTTTTAATTGGATCTGATACATTTTACCTAATACGTTTTACTAGCTCTTTTGTACGATACTAGTTTTCAGTTTAAAATGCAATTTAAAGACATAACAAGGTTAACTTTTAGTTATTTGTTATTTTAGTTATTTTGATTTATTCTGTAGCCTATTGAAAATATATATTTCTAAAGAGGGCTAATAATTTTAACCTGTAAAAATAGTGAGATGTTTTCCAGTAGATAAAAAAAATACTGTTGAAAATGTCTTGTGATTTATTAACCATCAATGTTTGGTCATTTTTCAGGACTGTGAGGAATGCATCAACCTAGACTCTACCTTCAGTAAGTGATTTAAATATAAATATAATACTTCAAGTAAAAATTTATATCATTATTATTTATTTATTTAATTTTTTTTACTGTTTGCATATAAAATGGGTTACACACTATATATAACAATCATGTAAGCACAGCAAACATTTTACAGCCCAATTTCCATCCTGTTACCACATCCCAAAACAATTACAAATACAAAACATTTGCATGTATAAAAATTACAACATTTGAAAGACAGAAAGAGAAAAAAGTCAAAGAAAGTGTAAGGGGATGAAAGTGATAGAGGATGAAAGGGAAAGCAAAAGAGGATGAAAGAGAATAAAAAATGAAAAGTAAAGTGATAGGGGATGAAAGGTAAAGCGAAAGAGGATGAAAGATTGAAAGTGATTGAGGATGAAAGAGAAAGAGGATGAAAGATCGAAAGTGATTGAGGATGAAAGAGAAAGAGGATGAAAGATCGAAAGTTATAGAGAATGAAAGGGAAAGCAAAAGAGGATGAAAGATCGAAAGTTATAGAGAATGAAAGGGAAAGCAAAAGAGGATGAAAGAGCGATAGTGATGGAGAATAAAAGGGAAAGCGAAAGAGGATGACAGATCGAAAGCGATTGAGGATGATAGGGAAAGCAAAAGAGGATGAAAGATCGATAGTGATAGAGGATGAAAGGGAAAGCGAAAGAGGATGAAAGATCGAAAGTGATTGAGGATGAAAGGTAAAGAGGATAAAAGATCGGAAGTGATAGAGAATGAAAGGGAAAGAGGATGAAAGGGAAAGCGAAAGAGGATGAAAGATCGATAGTGATAGAGAATGAAAGAGAAAGAGGATGAAAGATCGAAAGTGATTGAGGATGAAAGGGAAAGCGAAAGAGGATGAAAGATCGATAGTGATAGAGAATGAAAGGGAAAGCGAAAGAGGATGAAAGATTGAAAGTGATAGAGAATGAAAGGTAAAGAGGATAAAAGATCGGAAGTGATAGAGAATGAAAGGGAAAGGGAAAGAGGATGAAAGGGAAAGCGAAAGAGGATGAAAGATCGAAAGTGATTGAGGATGAAAGGGAAAGCGAAAGAGGATGAAAGATCGATAGTGATAGAGAATGAAAGAGAAAGAGGATGAAAGATCGAAAGTGATAGAGGATGAAAGGGAAAGCAAAAGAGGATGAAAGAGCGATAGTGATAGAGAATAAAAGGGAAAGCGAAAGAGGATGAAAGATCGGAAGTGATTGAGGATGAAAGGGAAAGCGAAAGAGGATGAAAGATCGAAAGTGATTGAGGATGAGAGGGAAAGCAAAATATGATGGAGAACGCGAGAGGATGAAAGAGCAATAGAGCATGAAAAAGCGAAGAAGAGGAAAGGGAAAGAGGAAGATGAAATGGAAAGCAAAAAAGTATGAAAGCGAAAAATGTTGAAAGAGCAATAGATAATGAAAGCGAAAGAGAGTGATAGAAAGTGAGCGTATGAAAGCGATAGATGGTGATAGTGAAAGCGAAAAAAGGAAAGAGGAGGATGAAAAGCAAAAGATGATGAAAGAAAGCGATGGAGGATGAAAGGGAAAAAAATAGATGAAAGAGCGATAGAGAGTGAAAAAGTGAAGATAATGAAAGGGAAGGAGGATGAAACAGAGCGAAAGCGGATGAAATGGAAAGCAAAAGAGAACAAAAGTGAAAGTGATAATGAAAGACAGAAAGAGGATAAAAGTGAAAGAGAAAGAAAAAGAATGACTAAATGAAAGACAAAAAAGATAAAAGCAAAAGGAGAAAGAATAAAGAAAGGATGAAAGAGAATGAAAGACAGGAAGAGAGGTTGAAAGCGAAAAATACAAAACAAGGGAAAGTGAAAGAATGAAAGTGAATGAATGAAAGAGTATAAAGAGGAAGAATGAATGAAAAAGACAAGTAGAGGATGAAAGAGAATAAAAGCGGAGGATGAAAGAAAGCGGACTAAAGAGACCGAAAGAGAACTAAAGCGAAAGTGATGATGAGAGGATAAAAGTGAAAGAGAAAATGAATGAATGAAAGACAAAAGTGAAAGCGAGAGAATGAAAGACAAAAGATAAGATGAAAGAAAAAGATAAAACAAGGGAAAGTGAACGAAAGAAATTGTAAGCAAGAGAACGAACGAATGAAAGAATAAAGGGAAAGAGGAAGAATGAACAAAAGACAAGTAGAGGATGAAATGAAAGGGAATGAAAGCAAAAGATAGACAAAGAAAGTAAAAGCAAAAAATGAACGAAAGGGAGCGGATAAGAGCAAAAGAAAATGAAAGAGTGAGAATGAAAAAGGGAGAAAAACAGTGAAGTACAATTCATTTTCCAAGTGTGTAAAGGAGATTGTGACATCATTACCCTTCTCACTCAAAGCTTGTTGTAACCAGTTACCAGCACTGACTTGGACAAACTGATGTACATTATTTCTTCCTAACTACCATGTCAGTAAATGAATATTTTCACACTCTCCACTCCTGCTTCATTCAGTTAAGGGTTACACACGCAAAGGAGCTGCACTTGAGGCCATGAAGGACTTCTCCAAAGCAATGGATGTCTACCAGAAAGCTCTAGAGCTCGACTCCAACTCAAAGGTTTGCAAGAACTGCTCTGTGATTGATGGCAAGGAGATTTATGAGGATTGTGCTGGTCAACATTATAATTCTGTTGCTACAGGAGGCCACAGAGGGTCTGCAACGCTGTATGGTGAGCCAAGCCATGCGTAACGACAGTCCGGAGGATGTGAAACGGAGAGCCATGGCGGATCCAGAGGTGCAGCAGATTATGAGTGACCCTGCCATGCGCATGATCTTGGAGCAGATGCAGAAAGACCCACAGGCCCTCAGCGAGTAAGACACAACTTAAATATTTAATATTAGTCTTTTTTCTTTTTCTTTTTTTGTGGGTCTCATTTCAGCCATCTGTAGCCTTCTGTTTTGCTTGTTTTAGAACCGAGCTGGAGGGGTTAGATTTATGAGATGCATAAAATGTGCAGCATGTTGAAGGGAAGCTTTGAGAAACCTTTTATTTATTTATATACATTTATTTTATGTTTATTTGTTTGTTTATTAATTTATTTTTCATTTATTTATAGATAATTTTAATTTATTTTTAGATTTATTTATTTTTATATGTATGTATTTATTTATTTTTAGATTTATTTGTTTATTTTTATACTTGTTTATTTTTTAAATTTATTTATTTTTAGATTTATATATTTTATTTATTTATTTTTAGATTTATATGTTTTTATATATTTATTTTATTTGCGTATTTTATATTTATTTTTATGTTTATGTTTATATTTTATTTTATATTAATTTATTTGATTTTTTTTATTTATTTTAGATTTACTATATTTTTATTTATATATTATTATTTATTTATTTACTTTTAGATTTACTTATTTGTATTTATTATATTTAATTTTATATTTTTATATTTTTATTCATTTTTAGATTTTTTTTTATTCATATTTATTTTTAGATTGATTTATTTTTATATTTATGTATTTTATATCTATTTTATTTTTAAATATGAAAATAAACATTTATTTTTATATTTGTTTTATTTTTTTTATTTTATATATATATATATATATATATATATATATATATATATATATTTTTTTTTTTTTTTACTTTTTCTATCTATACATATTTATTTATTCATTCATTAATTTTT